GATGGCGATAAACCTGCAGCAATTTGAGTACCTTTCCAGTAGTGACATCCTCTTACCTACACCTATTTTTTAATTTTACCTTTCCTTGAACTACATTCCTTTTGTGGATTCACTTTTCTTTGTGAAGGGATGTTTCTTGTGATATATATTCCCTGGTCTGAGGTTGTTATTTCTCACCTAAACACTCTTGCCCAACATCTTACTACTACTCGGGTCATTCTACCCCTTTACTAGAGTGATGGCTTCTCCTTCCCTCCGCCTTTTTCATTTTATGCAAGCACCGAACCTTGGTAGTCTCTAATGTATATTCCAGTAGTAATTGACAGCATTTTGTGTACCACACCTAAAATTTTTATTCCACCAGGATCCTTTTCTGATTCAGGCATCCCTAAGTCCCTCCTGGAAGGTTAGTACTAGTAGGAGACGGGGCAAATGGCAGGTTCATTTATCTCTCATTCGTCAGGCTGGATAACCATTCAGGAAGCCTGCCGTAAAAGCAGGTGGTAGTGATGAGGCCTTGCTAATGCCACTTCCGCACGTTTTCTACCCATGTCCGATTTCCCTCTAGCCTTTATTCCTCGCTACACGCATTCATTCTCTCCTTCATTTACCCATCTTCCTTACTAAATAATCTCCTGGGCCATGCACCTTTCTTATAGTCAGCTTACACTTTCTTTCTAAATGGTAAGGCATTTTTCAAATCAAAATAGAGAGTGTTTGCGTAATTTAGGGGAATGGAATATGCTAAAGCTGCATGGAAGTAATTGAAAGCATGACCGGGTAGTTGAAGCACAAATGGAACTGGAAGAGTGAGCACACGCTTCTTCAGATTGCAGGGGAATCCGGAGCTGTTAACTTCACTTGGATTTGAGATACGAGTTCGAATAGGCAAGCTGTGCATGTCTCGACGGAGACTCGTTTTACCTCTCCTCGTCTCTCGAGTTCGGATAGTTCAGTCTTGAAAATATTAGAGTTGCCCTTTTGGACAACAATTCGTCCTAGAATGCCTCTCAAGGGTCATACTTCTTCTGTCTTTCGACTCCCTTCCTCAGACTTCCGTTGAAACTCAAATCAACTTAACTCATGGAGGCAACTAGACGCATTTGCAAAATAGCGTCTGCGTGTGTGCTTTTGCGGCGCCTGACCCAACGAATGTGTGGAAATGAAGTGGGCATGAAATCACCAGTGATGGATGCCTCAGCAACACTTACGTGGCGAGGCAGTGAAACGCTGTTCAAACGGTTGACGAGTGCCAGGTGTCAACTCACCCGCACTCTTGGGATTGTTACTGCTCTGCTCAGGCATAAGCGCACAACGTGGAAACTAGTTAGTGCTTCGAGACTGCACAGTGACCAGCGATGGTGCATTGACAGTAGGTGCATGGAATGTGGGTCAAATAAACAGCGGTTGCGATAAGCGCCTAGTATGACAGGTGGAATTGGCATTTGGTGCTTTGCGGCAGCCTCTTTCAACAGGAGGCACCATCGAGTGTTTGTGATATTATCGGAAATAACTGATTGCATATTGCTGATCAGAGGCACCTCCGAAACCCTCAAATTGGACTGACTATAGTCGAGGGCGATGCGGTGTCAGAGTGTAGGGAACAGAGCTTCAGGTTGCTTCTGTGTGCTTCGCATTCCACTAGTATGTTCTATGGGTGACAGTTGGACTTAAGTTCACTCAAGGCACTGCTGCGCTGAGAAATGCATTTTGCTAGGATATCAACACGATTAATTGTACGTAAGCAGTGATGATATTGCGAATGGCTTTGTTGGTTCCGCCATCTCCTCATACCCCTACAGTGCTGTTGGGTGGAAGTCTCCGGGACATCTCTGTGAGGAAAATCTGTTTTGCCTCTCGTCTTAAAATCTGCTCCCTCATAGGTGTTGATTCGCGTCTGAATGTGAAAGCAAAAGCGCCTTCATGGAAATTGTTGCCGTCTCTTTGCCCAAATTTGTCATGCACTTCCAGTGATCCCCTTTCTCTTGACTGTCTTTGAACCCCTCCTTATTTAGTGTATTTTGGGAAGTTAAATATCCCACAAAGAAAGTAAATTATTGTCAGGAAGGGACTCACATCCATTTTGTGTTATTAATGCAAAATCCACTTTGTCAGGTGGTAGTGAAAAGAAGCAAGCATGAAAACGGCTTCATTTTCATAGCCCACCTGTTTTCGTGAACTGAATCTGCTTGCAACCTGAGTTGGTCAGGATCCAATATTGGAGTACCACAACCGTTCTCTGATCCTGCAGCCTGTTATGTCGGGCATTTAGCAATGAGAAATTCCTCTGAATTCAGCAAATCTCCAGGTTTCGACGTTTGCTGCTCACTTCCCCTCCTTTTTCCTTCCCGTCTATCTGTTGACATGGCCACATTTTTCCTTTTGTATTCGTCAAGCAATCAGTCATCTCCGCGCGTCCACGCATTCATCCACCAATTTCCTGCTCGTCAACACGGATGAAGCGAACACTGGAAGCTCAGGCGCTATCATGGAGTGGATCCAATTGATGGCTTGTTGAAACATCGCCACTACTATTACCTCATGCGCAGTTGTTAGACCATTTGACAGGGGTCTCTTTTATTGGTGATACTTCATGCACAGTGCAGAGGATCCGAGTGTAGTTCGGTATATCCTCCTCTTCCATAACCAGGCATAAATCATTGAGCATTTCTGCTTTACCTCCTTTCCCATCACATCGTGAGGTGTGGATTACGCATTATAGGCTCACCTTTACCTCCGTAAATGAAAATCACAAATGCTGAGGAATCCACACCAAATTATCAACTACTTTTCCTCTGATACATCGACTCTCCACTTCCCGCCTTTGGTTCATCAAAATGTGGCCCAACACGAATGAGAAGGAGTGAACGTGTCTACAACGAAGTTCCAAGATGGAAAGGATATAGTTATCCCTGCATGAACAGGGTCACTCAGGATTCAGCACACCTCTATATGGTCATCCACGTGGACCGCGCGTTTCACAACTCGAGGAAGTTGAATCCGATTGGAAGAATAAAGGGGATTGTAAAGTGTCCCAGTAAAATGCTCAGTGGGTAGATTCACCATCAACACCTAAGCTGCGGAAGAGCTGTGCGTGCGCTGTAGGATTTTGTCACCCTACTCCTGGTGGATGGATCAGCGCGATTAGATTTCATTTGCGTTTTTCATTAAACTCAATGGAATTAAATGCCGATTTTTTAACACGGCACGTGGCAACAATGGAAAAGGGGTGTCCTCCCCCTTTGGACAACATATTTTGGTATTGGTCAGCCTTGCCCACCCATCCTAATTAACTAATAACTATATTGATACAACTCTCCATCTGGGGATTCGCCGGGACTGTTTTCTTTTATTTTGTCTTCGAAGAGGCTACTTATTTGCAGTGGAGGTGAGAAGGAGGAGTAGTAAGTGGAAGAAGAATGAGGGAGAATGAGAATGAGAGGGAGGGTGAGAAGGCGAATGAGAGTGCAAGTTGTCGCCTTAAATTTTGAGCATATGCATTTGATCCATTCCATCTATGAAGATACAGTAGTGGGCTATACTTTCCACACATTCTGTCTGCTACTTCCTTCATATCTTCTCTTTTACTTCCGTCTTCGTGGGTTTCCTTTTCCCAAACGTTTTTGTTACCTGGATTATTTGTTTGATGTTTTTTACGTATAATCTTGCAAATCTTCTCGCCTTTTTCTTATTTACTCTTTCCTCTTAATCCAGCACTTGTGGGACCAAGTTGAAGCAGTCAGAAGCAATTCACCTTCGCACCTCATCATTGACTGCTTAGTTGATCAACATCTCTCACAGCATAAGAAACGTTTTTTTGATTTGGTCTTGCTTTCATCGATGGGGGAGGCATTCCAACCATGCCTTTCTATTCTGGTGGAAGCGAATACTGATTCAGATCTGGGTGTAAGCAGAGATGGCAGGACGTATAGCAGGAACCAGAAAAATGGTAAAAGAATTCCTTAAAATGTGTTTAGAAATTATTTTGTGCATCTCATCTGAGCACACATGTCCAACATGCAACCTAAAAGGAAACAAAGTCCAATCGAGAAAGTGTTGTTTAAAGGGGTCTCGAAAACCAAAGTGCCTACTCACTTGGGCTCATCCAAATACACTCAAACTCTTCCTTGACGACCGCACAAAATGACACAACAGTTGTGCCGTCCTTGAGGACCAGCCATTTTCGCTCATTTAAGGGATAGTCGGCCGGCTGTTTAGGCAATCACATCGAGCGTACCGCAAGATGCATCATGGAAGAAGCGAAACTTACCTCGCCTCGGTGGTCGTGCTGACTTGAAATTCACTCGGTGACATGCAGCGAAGATGTGTAAACATCCAACTCCAACTGCTGTTTGGCAAATGTGACATGAATTTGGTAGAGATCACCTCCATATCCCTTTTCAAATCGACACAATTGCCCTAGCATTTGCCACACCTTGTAGGGTGTCATCCAGTTACACAACCTCTTATGCGGTGTTGACACGAGTAGGGTTGTTACAAATTCTTTGAAACGTTATTCGCTTTATTTTGCGACTTGCTGAAGAATGAAGGAAAGGGAATGAACAGACTGC